AGTTTATCAACAAATTAAAAAGAAGGGATTTTTTTTCCTTAAACAATAAATCATATAATTAATTAGCCAATATGTAAACAAATAAATCTTATCAAAATACAACTATTGAAAAATAAACGGAATGGACTAGAAAATGAATTTCTACTTTTACAAACTCTCTCCTTTCGTGATATGAGTCAAAAACAAAGAGAATGATAACAACAATAGGGTATATTTCAGTTCATACTCTCTTTTTATGAGCTGATATAAAAAGCTTACCTGATGCATTATTAAAACAATATCAGTGCTGAATAATGAAATGGTTCAACGTATATCTGCCCCCAAATGCCCTGGTACGGCCGAGAGTGGGGAGAGTCCGCTCTCCCTCTCGAAATGCTCTCACATGGCCACGCGTATACAGCCTCTGCCAGGGAAGTCCTACTCACTGCCTTCTCGTGGCATTACTGTTGTTTACGAAAATGAGAGGATGAAAAGCAAATGTCCGGCGCTTTAACCGGATTCCAAACCAATGGTGCACATGGGCTCCAGTATCCTGCGGAAACAAATGGCGTATGAACCAATTGTTGGTCACCGGCTTCCATGGAACTGCATCTCCTTACGATGCTCCACTGCCTTGTGGATCAGACCCTCAGGTCGAAGGCTCGGGGTGTGGCCCCCTAAGAAAACCACCTGTTTCGGTCTGGGCACCCGGGCAGCATCACAGCCCTCACACATATCGAATGAGATTTGTGTGGCGCATATGTATTTGGTGCCTCTTGTACCAATAACTATGTGTTGAAATAAATAAAAATCAACGTATATCTTGTTAGGCATATATGTTAGAATTGAATTAATTCATAATATTGATTTTTTTTTGTAGGATTTAAAAACTATTGGTCTGAAAGCTTAGTAATGTTCTTAAAACTTACAACAAATATTTGATTAATTTATAGTAAATAGTCTAATTATGATAAATCTGAGGATTCAACTTTAATTTAAAAGCAACGGCCGTCCAGTTTGGTTAGAAATAAAATGTAGGTCTCAAATGGATTGAATGAATTACATTGTAAACTAAAAAAATTCATTCTTTGTCGCTAAACATTTTCTGTTTATAAAATATTTTAATCATATGATGAGAATCTAATCAGATGATTTTTTTACTTTAAAAAGAAATAATAATAAACCAACATTTAAGACATTAATGACGTAGAACTATTGACAAAACTGAATATAGTCTAGTTACTTTTAATTTTTGTATTTAAGATATTGTAAACATTTTAAGTAGTATGTTCTAACCTTTAATTAAAGTTTGAGTATTTGATAATATAAATATTATCAATTTTTTTAAGCAACTTAAACAATATAAGTGATTAATAGTTTCTCAGTCATTTTGTAGCACTATACTCAATGTTACCTAATGCTGAATGATTTGTCTGTAAAAACTGGAGCTCGGAGAAAAATATCACTATAATTAGATTCATTATATCAGTTGTAATTATTATATCACAAAAAGAATTGAAACTTATCTCTTACTTATAGTACGACTTTTACAACAATTCCTAAAATATAGTCGTAAAATATTTTTAACTGTATTCATTCCCTTTATTGTTTAGTGATAACTTTATTACTCACAAGTGAAAACAGCACCACAGATTAACAGTTCTAAAACAAGTGTATTTGTGAAAATATTCTCATGTTCTAGATTCACAAAAGTTTTTCAGCAAAATATTTTGAATATTGAAATATATGTGCCTATATCTGTAGTTAATAACATAAACTGAATACTGTTACTATTAATAACATGGTATGAATAATAGTTACATCACAGACAACTTTAAAAATATGGTTTCACAATGAGTACACTTGCTGATGAACCGAAATAAACGGTAAATAAACGAACAAATTAATTATTTAACTGCTATCGTCAAATTTAATCTCACTTAATATTTACCATATTTCCTAGGATCATGTTTAGCAACTAGAATGCGAAGCTTCTTGTAGATTGTTTAGTATCAAGATATGTTAAACCACAAACTACCTTTAGTCAGATAATCATCTAAAATAAATAAGCACTAGGTAGCTTTTTCATTACAGTATGAAGTTCCTCTGAAATTCACACATAAAAACTTCAAGCGGATCAAACCTAAGACCCGTAAGATTTGCAATAAATGTGTAACCTCGAAACCAAGAGGTTGCAATCATATCAGACGTGATAAAGATATTACCGATAGTAAAAGATGACTCAAACTGTGAATTAAATGATTTCATCATATGGCCTGAACGTCCTGTGTTTGACTTCCGGCTTGACCTCTGGAAGGTCGTCTAGCCTAAATTAGTCTATGATAGATACTACCTTTATATTATTTACTCGTTGAATAAGAATAAGTATGTACATGGATGACTACAAAATTCGATTGCAAGTTTATTTAAAAAATATATTTGTCAGTGCAAATTTATAACAATAGGTGACAGTAAGATCCACAATGTTTTGTCTTAACTATCAAAAGGATGATAATGAGAACGTCAATACATATATTTAATAATGTATTCTGTTATCGGATCAAATTAACTGAAACTAAACATGTCAACTACTGGATGCCGGCTCATTGAACTAAAAATTCCACGAGATCCAAAGGTTTTGAGTTTGCTCCACTTCAAGGTTTTGGATTCGCATAGCTGTATCTCACACAATGACAAAACTGCTACCCAGTGCTTCCTGATTTCTAGTGGTCATATAACCTGGATCAGTTCGTGACACCAGTTAAAAAAAGTAAATATAACTTAGTTAATAATGTTCTTTTTTCTAACTGATAACAAGCAGCTGATTAGAAGTGTGAATAACTTTAAAAACTGTTTGTTGAACTAAACAAGCATAGTGAGGCTGACTTAAGCAATTCTCTAGAACTATGAAAAGTACTTAAAGTACAAACTGTAGTTATTATATGAAAGTTGCTACATATTATACTATCTCATGTGTGTTTACTACTTTTGTTAATCATAAACGAGAGGTTAAAAACGGCCATTTATTTGTAAAGACAAAACTTAAACATAAGAATTCTACTTGGATGTAGACGCCCACATAATTGGATTTAGTATAATAACAACATAGCTATCTAATAGATATCTTAAATGTATAAACACTTAATAAGCCTCCATACTTTCGTTAGAAATAAGATATAAAGAGTATTAAACGTCACTGAATCACGGTCTTTTTGGAACCGAGCCTAATTTTTAAATGGTTAGATATTCACTTGGAATCTTAAACGCAAAAGAAAAAGAAGCAGATCAAAATACACATTGCGCAAGGAATAGGTGGTAGACATAGAAAAAATGAATAGCACTTGGAAACGACTAAGAAGAAAAACCCAGGACACAGTTGGCTGGAGAATCCTGGTCGGCGGTCTATACTTTACTAAGGGCAACAGGCGTAAGCAAGTAAATACTCACTAATGATTGACTTTTCAATATACAAAGACTTTATTTAGTATGAACAGCACCTCGCTACTAATTTTGCCAAAACATTATAAGTTCATACCGAGGCAGTTCAGTAATCAAGGTAAATTTGTTGAATAAGTTACTGTATAACATGTTACTCCAAGGCCGAAGATACTAGAAGAATCAAGGTCGATGGAGTTTAGTTCAAACCACATAACCGGTGATTAAAAACCAAGTGCTTTAATTACTGAGCTACAACACCACAAGACACTGTAAACGATGAAAACAAGAAAATAGATTTTAAAAATAGCCAATAGATAAGTCGACGAACCCTAAGTGCTTCAGGGGAATACCAACAAAATTGACGTCTCGAAACTATTAGCGACGTATCATCCCAAGCGAATATATAACTCCATGAAGATACATATAAACACTAAACAATTCACATCCTCATCTTGCTTCATTCCTTAATATTATAAAACTTTTTACGCATCATACACGACCAGATTTTTATGCTAAAACAGATGTTCGTTGCAGTCTAAACATTATCAAGTTACCTGTCCTACCAGAATCAAACTTATAGAAACATCTACGCCTCACAACATGCAGATGGAACATATCAAAGATTCAAATAAAGTTCGTTAAATTAAACTTTAAACTAATGAATGAACTAGATTGATTTTTAATTCACGTTACTAAGTATTTTCTGACAAATCGAATTCATTTATGGTAATCAAAACATTTTGGTGGCCCTTTATCTGACTCCTCTTAGACCGGACAAATGATCGTTATCGAATGATTTCTGTCGAAATATGTATCCTGACTGTTCTAGTATATTACCACCGACTTAACTCGCGTTAGTGCATAACGGAATTAAATAAGTAAAATAAGAGAATGAATTTCGAATACGTGTATTTCATGCAGTTGTTGATCAGAACAAACAATCAGAGAGACAGAGCGAAGCGAAATGACACGCGGCGGAGAAGGCATGTAAGCCAACTCCCATTTTTTGTAGTGGCTTAGCTTCGTTAATCAATCACCTTGATAACCATCATCATATAAATCCCACGGTATTTGAAATAAGAAGGCAATAAAAAGCGGAGACTACTGTGTATTAGAGGATAGCACAGATCACAAAGATACAAGCACATCGACATAATTTGGAGCAGAGTAAAACTTATAGTCAAATCGAATAAGGGCACAGCAAAGCAAAGGCTAGGATTCGAGTACATATATACATGGGGAAGAGAATGATTCATCGAGTGAGATGTATGTAGTTTATCATATGATCAAGAGTACATGTTTGTACATATAAGATTGTGATCATAATAGCACAAAGAAATAGACGAATTGTTACTGTTTTAATAACATCGTCTGTTAAACAAGTTAATAAAAGAGCTTAACAAGAATTAATCATAGTCGAAATTGATTGTATGAGATCTACTATATAGCATCTATCCTCAGACAGAACAAACAGTTTGCTATAATGCCATAGACTGACTGAAGTTAAAGACTAAAAAAGCTATATATATATATTTAAAATATCTATAAAGTTGCCTGAATAATATCAAAAGAAAACCGCTTACTTAAGATGTAACTGTTTTTCAATTTTTCTGTCGAATACACTTGTTAATTGTTTACCATCTAAACGAAGTCGACTAGCAGCTTCCAAACATCCACCAGGTAGGCAAACATATTCACGTAACCAGTATAGAACATGGTCAGTGTTCCAACAAAATGATGGTAATATGCAAACATCTGAAGCTATAGGATTTTTTGTCACCTGAGTGTGCTGAATTAATTTATTAGGCAACTGATTTATAGATTTTTTAATAGGATTTCGATCAGAATTATTTAAAGGTTTGGATGATAACGTATCTGCTTTTTGAAAAAAAGAGAAATGAAGACCCAATTCATTAACCATAGTAGTTGTGAACATTTACTGATTATATATATAATAGTAATAAGTTATCATGTTGAACACAATTATTTTTCCTCATTAAGATTATCACTTGAACTGATTCCATAGTCGAAACAAATTACAATAGAAATCGGGTACTACAGGTCGGTCCCATTAAACCTCAATGAATCTCAAATACTTGAAACCTAAATCATTTTTTATCCTAATTTCTGAAAAAGAGTAAAAAATCAAGACATATTTCGAGAATTAGAAATAGGAAACCCTCAATATCATAAGTGCTGTGACATAAATGTACGCTTCACACTAATGAAAGTATCTCATATCTATCCAAGATTCATTGTTAATGGAAAATATTTTGAGGTTGTTTTTTTTTGATAATATCATCAGTGTTAATGCATGAAATTATATTCGATAATTCTATCAGCTGATTAAGATATTAATAAGAATGCTACGCTTTAACTAGCCACAGGAAAGTAGTGATTATCATATGGTAATCTAATACTATCAGTCAGAGTTTCACTGTGCTCAAATAAATAACCAAAGTCACGTCAGACGTTTTCTGTATACAGTATCGGATAATTGAAAGTAATTGATTATGGACCTTAAAATTTGTTCTTGATATGTTTTTCCTGTTTGCTAGTAATATCACAAAACAGACTGATTGAATTTAGCTTGCATCAGCATGGAGATTAACAAGGTAGCACAGTGGTGCTTAAAATGGCAACTGGAGCTTAATACGGCTAAATGTGGATGGATATGTTTCGGCGATACATCACTCAACCTAGACATTACCATAAATGGTGAAGTGTTATCTAGGTTACATACAGTAGTAGACTTAGGACTTAGATATTCCCAAGACTTGTCGTTTACAGAACATATATTAAAACAGACCTCTAAGTCTCAACGTCTGATAGGTTACATAACTCAAAATCTTTACAACACTAAGTCACGTATTCTAATGTATAAAGTTTGTGCTCGACCTCTTCTAGAATATTGCACGTTTATTCTTAGCAGTGCGCTCATAAAGGATAAATTAAGGCTGGAATCAGTACAGAGACGATTTACACTTCGTATTCTTGGAGCTGATGGTACCTTCACTTATAATTCCAAATGCAATAAACTTGGGCTAGACCCTTTATGGAGGAGCAGACTGAAATCAAATCTTATCTTTTTCTTCAAACTACTTCATAAACTATCGTTTACATCCAATCACGCGATTCAATATGCAGAAACTTCTCATTATCACATCCGTAATCCCTTGGCACTAGTGAAATAAACTTATTCTAAATAATCTCTTTATATGAATTACTTCACCTGTAAATTTTCTAGACTCTGGAATAACCTACCACAATCTATCCGCACGATAAAATCACTCCCATTATTTGTTCGCTGCATCGATGCATACTGCTCCTCTGAAAATGCATTGAATGGTCTAGCACCTGTAAGTGTATCTTATTCCACAAGTAGTATTATAGGATCTTTAAATGTTTAGCCATTTTTATTAGTGCATCCCCTAAGTAAAATCACCTACTTGCTGTCACTTTATGGTAACCCCGTCCCTAGCAAGTTTAACTCATTTGAATAACATCAACAATATATCACTCTGTCACATGACACACGCATTTTGGTAGACCTGATTGACATATTTTGGTAATTACTGCTTTGTTGTTCCGTGCTCTCTGTTTTCGTTTTAATTTCTCTAGTTGTAGATAATTATCATTATTTTGATCTGGCACACAAATTGACCTTAATTACACCGTTCATAAATCAACAGGCTGTCCATTTAAGAAATATTAAAAATTCCCGGCTGATGCTTTGGATTGCTGTAATATATGTACTACTTAAACAATTACTGAACTCGTATACTTAAAACTTTCTTTTATCACATATTTGTTCTGCATGTCTAACGTTTTTACTTATATCAAATTGATCATGCCTGTAAACTGGCTTGAATTCTGTAATTATTATTTTTCAGAATATAAAAATTATTACCTCAGTGTACTAGATGGAGTTTTTTTCTAGTAACACATTTGTGTTCTTGGTGGCATTCGTTGAAGCTTAAATGGTTTCATAATAAAACTATGACTCTGACTTACGAACAAACATAAAACGTAGTTTCAGAAATTACTGCCCAAATAAACATGCTTATTTCGTCATATTTACCAACAAGACGTTATCGAAACAGTAGAGAATGCTCCAGTATTAAAAAATTAGGTTATTCAGAATTTCAACAGATAGAACTTAATCATATCTTTCTCAAACTATCATCTGATACTTAGAAGTGATAATTAAGCCTAGGGGTAATACTGACTGGATAGTTAATATGCAGATAGGGAATATAAGACGTAATATTGAGTGATTATGAGAAAGTTAAGCAGATTGTTTATGAATGCCAAAATGAGCAAAACAATTTACGCCGATAACATTTCCTTTATAGATTGTCAATATTTGATGTCAGAAACAATTTTGATTAAAATTAATGTCATTCACATTTGCATCACACGACTAGATAAACGATGTATTAATAGTATGATACAAATATTTACTGAAAATATCCATGTAACCAAACACTATAAAATACAGGAACTATCCAAAACATTTGAACAGTAGCATCTTATAAAGTATCAGTTAAGCAAAAAAATCATCTGTAGTCTTGTGAACATTAAATAATGATTCAACCAATATTGAATAAAACAAGTATACCAATTTCAGAAGTCCGTATAATCGTTGTAAATAAATCCGGAAAGAATGACATAAATGAAAGTATTACTTCCTATTAAAGGCAAAGTTGAACTTTGGAAAAAAAAATTGTTCTATACGTTACATAATTACTACTTTCTACCGTGTTATCAAGAGATTTTTTAAATTCAGCAAAATGAATCATTGGTTCTCAGTTTTCCTTACAAAAACAATAACAGATTTATAAAACTCATTTTATATTGCTTATTTGAATCGTCCCATTGATGTTTAAGACTAACACTGATAATAAAAAAATAAATTTAAGCCTCACCCCATTGCCCAAGCTAGAGGCTATCAAGAATCAGTAGCTAAGTGGATAACACAATGGCATTTGAAGCGAACGAGACTGGGTTTGAGTCGAGGAGTGAACACTAACTCTTGAATGCATGTACATGCGGCTGACGAGTCCGAAATACAACGAGACGCGCTTCCTAGATTCCACTGCCAGCCACTGTCCATATTTGCTTATAAAATTTATAAAATGTTTGTGATCACCAAGAGGGGTGAATATCCTGGATTCGATTAATAGTTACGTCCTGAGTAAATCACGAATATCTTCAGATTTATGTAACGTTAAGCGTGTAGTTCGATTAATATAGGCAAAGTTATTCATGTGATTTTAAAGAAAGTAATATAACCAAAAGTGGAGTGATATCGGGTTGGCTCTCCCTTGATTTTTCATTTACCATCCCATTAGTCCCACTGTCTAGACTAAACGTTTGTAAATCTACGAAATATTTAAAACGTGACTAAATAAATATGATTATAACTATAAAACAGTCAGAGTAGAAGTATTATATAGCCTATTTTTGAAAGCAATGACTATTAATAAAGCAAAATAACTTATATGGAATAGACAAGGGCATCGCATAATTTAAGTACACTAGCGCAATAAGTTATATAATTGTCTAAGTAAACGTTTTACTTAAAAAACTAAATGTAAAGAAAACATAAGAATGAACTTAGCGTAATAAACTAAATTAAAATATTTAACAATCATGTTCAGTGTCTCAGATTTATTTGCAGTGGAAACCTATGTGTTTTTCGATACAAACAGAAGGCCAGGGAGGAAGTATTATCCACCAATTGTATGTGGAAATAGTTCACGTTTTAATAATAATGATAAATGTTTTTTCTTCATTTTCAACACTATAACTAAAAAAAAGTGACTTATATTTGGAAATAATCTATAATTTCCACCCACTTGAAATGAATAGACAATTATAATTGATAAAAAATACCAAATGGTGAAATAATTCATACTGTATTTTTCAACGTCTCCTACATGTAAACTGATTAATTATCGTTTAAAATATACCAATATATAAAAACGTAGATGTAGAAGATGGTCTCAATTATGAAGCATGTATCAGCATACTACTTATTAACTTAATTATTCATTTGATGGTATATATATAGATAATTATTCACATTGTGTAATTTGACTCTGTGACAATTTTCCTATTAAGCCGATAGCTTATTTAATTTCCATTTCAATACATAGGAGTATTAAATAATGTTGATAAATATTCCTTATAAAATGGAAAACGAAACAGATTACCAAGAGATAAAAATGAATGACTTTTTAAAAAAAACTTATCTGAATAACTCCTATTCTCTACATTTACTCAAAATACCTTTGTCATAAAAGATATTACAATTTATTTTTAATTATCAATAAGAGCTATATGAGAAATGACTGCTGTAGAGAAATAGTGCGTGTTCTAAATGCGGCTCACCAACATTTTAAAGATAGTATCCTTTATATCTGACTCCAATAAATAGTATCCCGTTGACTGAGTATTTAATGCAGGCTAAACATCCTGGTAGAATTATGGATTTACTTGAGATTATTCAAAAGCCCGAACATCAAAAATAGAGATAGTTTATTGTTAAGATTGGTAAATTCCGCAATTGTACACGAAGCAAGCACACAGGGAAAACAAGAGCGTGTGCGTATGAGCGTGAGTGTTAAAAATCCATATATATTTTTGAGTGTTAATCAAGTATGGATAAATTATTGATTATCTGTGTATTACAACTAATGGGAGAATAGATTAAAAATTGACATGTGTTCAATCAGACTCACACAGAAAATTACATGGTGGGTCAAGTAACTAAATTACAGAATGGGTTTTGTGGAGAGTTTAAGAAATTTCACAAGTTGAAATCATGAGTCAGTTGAAGCTAGACCACCATGGAAAACCTGGAAGCACTG